CATTGATTTTAATACACACATACCTGAGGGTGTGCACAATGTACAGCACCATTCTAATATAGAGAATATTAAAAACAAAAACAAATTGGGGAAAAAATTTAAATTCTGCATAATGATTGTCTTAAAGACAAGTCTGTGATTTCAGCATTGTTTAAATTTTGTCTTTTTTTTTTGCGTTGCAGGAAAGGCCAAACAAATGGAAGACAAAATGGTGCAAAAGTTACAAGAGGACGTCGACATGGGGGATGAGGATAATTAATCTCATGCCCAAGGGGTTCTTTTGGTGGCGTGAAAGTGGAGAGGAAGTTGACCTTGTATTATATTGTACTTTTGTTATTTCCAAATGGCCGGTGATGGATACAGTAATGCATTGAGTTTTTAACTGATATAAAAGGACAGAAAATATTTACCTAACAAAGATCTGCCTCTAAAGCAGCAGCAATTTACCACGTCTCCCAGTCATTTTTTTTTCCTGTGTGGTAGTTGGGACTCAGTCCTGTTGCATAGTATTAAGTTTAAGTTTAACAGAAATGCAGAAAATGCTAGGAGGTAACCAATGAGAAAAAAACATTTTTTGGGAATTGCTTTTCTTGTTTCTTATTTTTTGTGACATTATACCTATTATATACATATATATGGCTAAATTAAAACCTAAGTTGATGCCAAAATGAATGGTGGATTGAATATTTGTAAGAAACAATATGCCATTTTACTTTTGTGTTAATTTGGATTTTTGCTGATAAAACCTTAATCTCTGATGGTTGTTTTGGCATGAAGAACATAATGGCAGAAGGGAAGGTTAGCAGCACTTTTCTTCACTGCACGCACAATGTACATATTGTATAATGCAAGCATATCCAGTGTGTAACCTATGGTGTAAGTGTAGTGCATTATATGCCATAAGCAAAAACAACTATTAGGCTATGTTCATGATTTCCACATCTGTCATCCAACCACAATTTAAGTAATGAAGTTATTTGTGTCTTAAATTAGCAATAACAGACACAAAATTTGCACCCCCAAAAATAAAGATACAATTATAAGATTGTTTACCATTTTACTTCCCATTTTATACCAGTACTTGTATAACAGGTATAAAATTTACAAAGATTATAAAAGCATAAGGTCGCTGGGGTTTTTTTTCACCACAGTTTTTATCCAGAAATATGGAGCTTTAACTAGTGTTGTGAAAAGCTATTCTGATGGCTTTGTTATTACCTATGACAGCAAGTTGGCTAACTGAATCTTGATATGTAACACAGTTGAGAAATACTATGAAAAATAACAAAAGCATAATCTTTTGTCTTTTTTTTTTTTTTTTTTACAAATTCATCATCGAATAATTTCGATTATAATTAAAGGTTTTGCTGAAGCAATAATGAGTCTCTGGAAACTTTTAAATAGGAAGTTCTCCACATGAAATGTTCATATTGGATAACAAAGTCGATTTTTTTTCAGTGTATTACAGGTGTTATGTAGATCACTGTCCATGCGCTGTCGAGGGTTAAAAAGCATGTGAAAGCCTGAATCAATGTATCTAATCATCTCAATATATATTATTCAAATATAACATTCAGAGCCCATATGAAATATGAAAGAATATAAAAGGCATTATGTGAGCCCGAAACTATTCTCACTTGTTCAGTCCACGTTTTACTTTTCAGACAATAAAAATGATTTTTTATAGAAGAAAATTGTCCGTCCGCTTGACAGACGTTCATGTCACAGATTGTCATGTGATGCTTATGATCCAATCTGGCATCTGGCATCTGGCATCGATTCACTGGCCTGTTGCTGGACAGGCTACTGCCCTCGCCCGCCTCGTCGCTGTCTGTGTAGCCTTTCATCTTCCACAAGACCTGTTTCAGACGGCTACATCCACAGTTTTGCGAGCACAGCAGAGATTCACTACAGCTATGTCTGAGGAGGCTGAAGAAACGAGGATTCCGGAAGATCAGCAGGTAAACTGTAACAACGAAAATTTGATTTTAACGAGTTATCCAGCGTTGCTAGCACGTCAATTCTGGTAAATTAGCAGGCGGCTAGCATCAAGCTAGTTAGCCAGTAGCTACTCCTGGCTAATGACATAAACGATGCTACCACCAGTAATTAGCTAATTAGCCACCAGCATTTCTTGATAAAGCAAAGCAAACACCCTGCTGTTTTGGGGTCAATGACTAGGTTGCCAAAAGCATTTATAAAGTGAGTAGTACCTTAACTAACATCGGTTAATGCTTTAGCTAAACGTGCTAAGTTAAATGGTAAGATTAATGCTAGTGCAAACACCAGTTGGGAGTTTCCCTCATGGCGGCGAATATATATTGTGAAAAATGATTAGTAAATGTACTAGCTGTAACTGCTTCTGCTGTCAGAGTTTATTTTTGAAGTTCAATAACTGCTGGTATGTGTAGTCTTAAAGAAACTTCACAGTTTTTCAACCATCAGCTGAGTGCAGCATTTGCCATCCATACACTCTGTGCTCTTTCAACAGGAAATGGATGACAAAGTAGTCAGTCCGGAGAAAGCAGAGGAAGCCAAACTTAAGGCCAGGTATCCTAACCTCGGAGCCAAGCCTGGAGGCTCAGACTTTCTCAGGAAAAGACTTCAGAAGGGGGTGTGTTTCAGACATAAACTAGGTAGTCATTTAAATAATAGCAGTTTTGCAATATTCTCACTTTATGTCTTCTCGTTTGTTCAGCAAAAGTATTTCGACTCTGGTGACTACAACATGGCCAAGGCAAAAATGAAGAATAAACAGTTGCCATCAGCCCCAACGGAGAAGACTGAGATCACAGGAGGCCACATCCCAACACCTCAGGACCTGCCTCAAAGAAAAACTTCAATCGTGGCAAGCAAACTGGCTGGTTGATGGTTTTATGTTTACTAAATTGTTACCATTCCAACCCCCTCTTCACATCTACCTGCCGTTTACTTTTTTGTTTGTTTTTCACCTTTGTATGTATTCTCTAAGAACAAGTTATGTACCAAGCCAAATACTTGTGAAAAATTGGCAACTGTCAGGCACTGAATTGTCAGTGAGTTAAATCCAACCAATTAGTAGTGGAAGATGTTTCTCAAGCCCTTAAAAGACTGAATAGTGATTGATTTATGAACATGATGTCACTCGTAAATACGGATGGATGTTAATGCTGTCTTATTTTCATAGAACATTTTCACTTTTAAGGATATACGCCTTCCTACAAATGCCTGTCTAACAGTAGCTGAATAGCCTGTGCAAAGGAACTGTTGTCATCACCACAAAGGAATATTGTCAATGATAATTACAGAGGCAAAAATACTAATGAGTTATGACTACAGAGAAAATGTTATCAGAGTTTGCTTTGATGTATGTGTGAAGTAGAAGTGTAATTTACAGATATGCCCTTCAGTTTGAAACTTTTGAGTGTTCACCCGCTCATGTGGAGGCATGTCCATTTAAACAGTGAAAATGAAGTAATCATGCTGTTTTTTTTTTTCTTCTAAACCTTGATTTTGTTCATGTCCCCTCCTTTCCCTTTAAAGCAATTTGATTCTGTGCTTTTCGAAGTACTGAAGATTAGATCACACACACTTTGTAGCCAGTTGTATTTTAATTCATTTTAGTGACATTAGTTTGCCAAGACTTGCTGCTGGTTTCCATCTCATCCTGACCTCTAAAATGGCCTTAAAAGTAATGAACCGTTGTTCCTCTTGAGCAATATTTGCTCCCTCAGTGAGAATCTTAGTTGTGAATCTTGCCTGAAATGTCTGTCACTGTCTGACTGGAATCACTAGGATTTTATGGAAAGAAACTCCCTTGACATGTCTGGAGTGTGCATGTGCATTTACTGTGCAGTCACACTGTGCCATTTGTTTTGTAAATAAAATAGTTTTGCATAATATCTTATAAGTACACTTACTCAATTGAATGTGTCCTTGCATTTTTTTTTTTACACACTATCATTACTAAACAACAAAACTACAAGCACTAAGAAGAGCCTTGTTTACATTATACTGAGGTAAAAGCCTAACTATTGCTCATGGAAAAAAAACTGCCTTCATCCATGGGTTGGGTGAGGTGTAAAAATGCCAGTATTTATTCATTTGTTCATACTTTGTATGGCAAATGTGACCCATGAAGGAAGGCATTTTCCATTTTGAAATGAGTCCTGTGCAAAAGCACCAGTACAGCAGAGACCAAATACTCCTAAGAAGCAAGACAGGAAATGGTACTGAAGTATTTTTCAACAGTTAAAGTGAACCAAATGGATACTAAATGACAGCCTATGTTACTTGATTAACTAAAACTTTTATAAAAGTATAGATGTTTGAAAAGTAAAATGTACTTTACTGTAGTAATTAATATTAGTTTGTGTCAGTCTAACTACTCCACTTTCAACCCTTCATCCAAAACAATTTCACATTGTGAAATTGTTTTGGATGCAAAGTGTACTCTACAAAGTAGTGACTACAGCTTTCAGAAAAATAGTGGAGAGTAAGTATCTGCTGTTTATTTCCATCTCATATGTAACAAGCAGTGTAAACTTTAGTTTCACAAATAAAACTCAATGGTCAGTACCTAAAAAATGTAGTCTTAAATGTTAGATAAGATAAATTGAAAGAGGATAATTGATATTAAAATGACCAGTTGATATTGTTAAATTGCAATTTTAAAACGCAAAGTGGCATTTAAACTCCTCAAATTTGGATTAAGTTACTGGCTTTCAAGCAAATTAAAATTCATCTGACCATCCCGGAAATGAATTGTGCACGTTTCTTCATGGTAGTATGTTGAGGAGGATCTGGTTCCCACCTACTCCTCCTTCTCCTGAGGTGGAAGTAGTTGACATGAGCTCACTGGCCGCTGGGAGGCACGCAAGACGCACGAGACGTGTCGGAGCCATAGCACGAGCAATTGACTGACAACTGCTGTAGCGGCAGTTGAATCTTCATCCCGGCTCAGCGCAACGTCCCCTGGAGAGGAGCTCAGAAAAGTTCATGTTTTTCCACTCTTGGAGTACGTAAGATGTGCACCCTTCTCTCTTTGGGCAGAGAAAGTTTCTGACGGCTCACTTAGCGAGTTAAAAGACATGGCAGCCTCTGAACTCTACTCCAAGGTAGGTGTATTAACTTTGTTAGTCTGTGTCGGTTGTCCAGCTCATTCAACGTTTTCCTGTAGCTAACGTTAGTTAACTTATCGTTAATATATATTAAGAATGATGGTTTACTGGTGCCAGTCACTTACAGGTGTCCACTGAACAGCTTTTGGTTTTGGTAAAACTTAATTTGTTGCTTTTTTCTATCTGTCTGCCACTTAAAATACCCCGTATCCATACACATTATACGCATGACTGCTGTCTGCTGACTTCAAGTTAGCATACCATTTTCTTAGGTACATGTCACTGCTGTTTTGCTGTCGTTTTGTAAAAGTCTGTGTTACTGTAAGTGCAGTGGCTGAATGGCTCTGACCCGGTTTCCCCTCTGTCCATCAGTATGCCCGTGTATGGCTCCCAGATGCAGAAGAAGTGTGGAAGTCAGCAGAGCTTATCAAAGATTACACTCCTGGTGACCTGACGCTCTCTCTGCAGCTAGAGGATGGCACGGTGAGCCAGGGAAATGACACACACACACAAAAGCACAAGCACAAAAAAAAGGCACTGAGGTGGAAATGGGTGTGTGATGTTCTGTGCCATGACCACATTTCTCTGCAAGAGCCCTGGCAATAGAGCCTCATAAATCTCTGTGCAGTGGGATTATTTTAGGCAGCTTTGATGTTTGGTAAATGCACATAGATTCCCAGGCAAGACAAACATTTTGTGTGCCTCTGTTTGCAACTCTGCAAAAGTTTTAATACAAGAAGCCTATTTAACGCACTGGCTTCAGAAGAGGTGGGTTGTTGCATGAAAGGGTACAGATGATTTGTTTAAAAAAAAAAACTCCCCTGTGGCTTCCTGTAGCTGTGTCTTGTTTGGACATGTACTTCAGGTATGGAAATAAGGCCAAAGCATTATCATGAGTGAACATGAACAAGGGAAGCACAGTGGTTGCTAGTTACCTTTTAACACGATGGACAATTGATGCTAATATTTTTGTGTTTTACCATTTCCTTTTAGTTGTTTTTTGTGTTGTGCTACCAGTTTTTGTCGTTTTTTTTTAAAATGAAAGCAATGTACTGTATCCAGACTAATATTGTATCTACTCAAAGCTAAATTCTTGTGTATTTCTAGGAGGTGGAATATAAAGTAGACCCGACAACAGACAAGCTGCCACCACTAAGAAACCCCAACATCCTGGTGGGGGAAAATGATCTCACATCTCTCAGCTACCTCCACGAGCCAGCAGTGCTGCACAACCTTAAAGTGCGCTTTATCGACTCCAAGTTGATATACACATACTGTGGTAATGAGCTTGTCTCCTTTGACTCACACTATCAGTGTCACTGTAGACTTTGGAGTTCTGTTCATTGTACATCTGACACAATCTGCAGTACATTATGCTGATTATTGTGGCACTGGCTGCCGTTAAAGGAACAGACACCAAACTGTTTAATGGTGTAGAGTCTAACTGAGAATTTTTCTCCTTGAGGTATTTAGGAATTGTCCTGGTTGCCATCAATCCCTATGAGGCCCTGCCTATCTATGAAGCTGACATCATCAATGCCTACAGTGGGCAGAACATGGGGGACATGGACCCCCATATATTTGCAGTGGCAGAGGAAGCATATAAACACATGGCCAGGTTTTGACACTTTACATGTTTGATTTTTAAGCAAGTGAAATGTTCACTTTCTTTAATGGTGATTATCTAAATTTGTTTTTTGTGGTCTGTATAATATCACATTTTCATGCAGGGATGAAAAAAACCAATCCATCATAGTGAGTGGTGAGTCTGGGGCTGGCAAAACCGTCTCTGCTAAGTACGCCATGCGTTACTTTGCCACAGTAAGCTGCTCTTCTGGTGAGGCCAATGTTGAGGAGCGAGTCCTTGCCTCCAGCCCCATCATGGAGGTAACATTTTCCACTGCAGGAAAATAGGACAGAATCATAAAATGATAAAGATTACTGATACATATATGTTTCATTTAGGCCCTTGGGAATGCCAAGACAACAAGGAATGACAACAGCAGTCGCTTTGGGAAGTACATTGAGATTGGGTTTGACAAGAAGCATGGTATAATTGGGGCTAACATGAAAACCTACTTACTGGAAAAGTCGAGAGTTGTGTTTCAGGTAATTTCATTGGTATGGATTTTACATGCATGTCTTTAGGAGACTGCCCTCAGTGTCTGAAAGTGGCCCTTCCTATCACTCTATCTTCCACGTTTTACCTTGCAGTTAATTGATTTAAAACATTTAATACATTGCTAAGCATATCTCAGCAGCGTATTAACAAACAACATAAACAACCCACAGTTTAGCCTGCCTGGCCACTGACTCACAGAGATGTCAATATATTAGGTTTTGTTAAGCAAGTTATTATTTTCAAGACAAAATTCGCTGATTTCAGTTTTGCAAAGCACTTGCTGTTCATGCATGCACCTACAGTTGAAAGAGATTTTAGTTTTACTGAATGTGTTTTCAGTACATACCTGGTTCCTATTTCACATCTGTTTGCACAACCTTTAGGCCCATGGAGAAAGAAACTACCATATATTCTATCAGCTGTGTGCCTCTTCACATTTGCCAGAGTTCAAACCCTTCAAGTTAGGTATGTGAGTCTCTGAAACATGATATCCCCTTTTATAATGATTTAGAAATTATTAAAAAAGCAAACAGTTGCAATAGCAGTTGTAACAAGTAGTATGTGTTAGTACAATGTTTTGCCTGATTAATGTTTGAAGGTTGCGCAGATGACTTCCACTGTACTAACCAGGGTCAGAGCCCAGTCATAGATGGAGTGGATGATGCCAAAGAGATGAGCAACACCAGGAGGGCTTTCTCACTTTTAGGTGAATGTTAGTTGCATTTCAATCAAGTTTGCATTTACAGCATATGTTGAATAGATAATACTTTATACATTTTTGTTGCTGGATTAACTGACATGATTCATCATAATTTATTATTTTATTATTCTTTTTTTCACTATAGGAACCGGTGACAGTGATCAAATGGAAATTTACCAAATTCTGGCAGCCATTCTCCACCTTAGCAATGTGGAGGTGAAAGATCAGTCAGCAGACAGATGCAGCATCTTGGTAAGTACTGACTACCCTCAGACTCAACAAGAGAGCTCAGTATTTTTAATTTTAATTAATATATTTTTAAGTATTTTTGTCTTGTATATTTGGTAAATTTTTTGTCTTAATGTTGCATCAAGAATGTATAGATTTTCTTCTCACATAAGACCATTATTATTAATATATTTCCAGCCAGATAATGTCCATCTGATGGTGTTTTGTGAACTGATGGGGGTGTCGTGTGAAGAAATGGCCCACTGGTTATGCCACAGGAAACTCCAAACAACCACAGAAACCTATGTAAAGTCCGTCTCCAAAATGAATGCGGTCAATGGCCGAGATGCTCTTGCTAAACACATCTATTCCAGACTTTTTAAATGGATTGTGGACAGTGTTAACAATGCCTTAAAATCTGCAAAGAAACAACACTCATTCATTGGAGTGCTGGACATTTACGGGTATGTTGTCACCTGCTGGTTTGTGGTTTTTCAATTTATGTTCCCTAAATGACCAGACATGCTTTAATGTAAACATGGATTTTTCTTCAGGTTTGAAACATTTGATGTCAACAGCTTTGAACAGTTTTGCATCAATTATGCCAATGAGAAGCTTCAACAACAGTTCAACCTGGTATGTGTCTTTTCCTGCTCAACATGTCCATTTTCTTGTCAAAATGTACACATAAATCATTTTTAGCTATCGCTCCCTCCAGCATGTCTTCAAACTGGAACAAGAAGAGTACATGAAAGAGGCTATCCCATGGACATTGATAGACTTCTATGACAACCAGCCATGCATTAATCTCATTGAGGCCAAGCTGGGTGTCTTAGACCTTCTGGATGAGGAATGCAGGGTAAAATGCCAGTTTTACTTTTTTTTTTTTTTTTAACCAAAAGTCCGTTCAGCTACTTTTCCACTGGCAGAATCTCTACCACGCTATGTTTAGAGGTTATGAGTAATGCCATGACTAACTGATGTGTCAGCACTTCCTCTTTCCACAGATGCCCAAAGGCTCGGATGACACATGGGCCCAGAAACTGTACAACACCCTCCTGAAGCAGAATGCTCACTTTGATAAACCCAGGTTATCAAATAGAGCTTTCATCATCCACCACTTTGCAGACAAGGTACTTAACTGCCCAGTAAACCACAGTAATGTCTCATGCTGAGGTGGCATTACATCTCACTGGGGCTTTCTGTGTTGAGTTTACATGTTCTGCATGTATCTACATGGATTTTCTCCCAGTGTTCAGATTTCTTTCCACAGTGTGTGCTTGGATAGGCTTCAGCTGCCCCCTAGCACAGAACAAGCAGTGTGGAAAATGGATAGATGGATGGATTACTCATGTTTTCTAGTAAAGACCACCAATAATGAAGTGTGAAATTGTATTTAGTTTGTTTGCAAAGTCAGAATTTTATGTCATCACCACAAATGTTTGAGGATACTGTTTATTAAAGTGGGACTAATCTGTCCTCTTCAGACTCTGGATGATGAATATGACCTTTGCTCTTTCAGTCAAAGAACACTGTGTGACCTGGTCCTTTGTGCCTAGGTGGAGTACCAGTGTGAGGGCTTCCTGGAGAAAAACAAGGACACAGTCAATGAGGAGCAGATAAATGTACTGAAAAAGAGCAAGGTGAAATTGTTAATCAATTCTTCTCACTTATCAGTCATTCTTAGTCAGTCAGTCTTTGCAGTGGTCATAGTAAGAAATATATTGTGTCATTTAGTGTCAGCACCTCTTCAGCTGCCATGAAGCCAAAAGCAAATAACTGTTAAGTATTTTTTGTGTTGTAAGTCTCCAGGCACACACCCTAGAATTGTTCAACCATAACTATTGGAGGAAATACACCCACTGTTGAATTTTAGATTGAAAACTCTGCCATCTGGTGTAGAATAACATATTTGTATTCTGCTGCTTTGATGTCTGAAAAAAAATGATCCTTTCAGTTTGATTTGCTGCTGAAGCTGTTTGAGGATGATGAGAAGGCAACAAGTTCTACTAAGAAACTTACTGGCATCAGTGGAAGGGCCGGTCAGAGTCAGAGGGATAATAAGAAGACTGTTGGACTGCAGGTGAGAGCATAAAAAGAAGGAAATATCACATTTGGTGGTGTAAGTTCATTGTACAATTAGAGTATCCATCCTCATGAAAAACCTAGGGAAGATTAATAATTACAGTTTTATGAAGAGGGATAAATAACCACAAAAAATGTCCAAGTGATTGTAAGTAAAAATTGAATGTACATACAAATTTTTACAACTGCCATACTTACTTATCATGGTTTTGTTGTTGTTTTACTCAGTTTCGACAGTCTCTACATTTGCTGATGGACACATTAAACGCTACGACTCCTCACTACGTACGCTGCATCAAGCCAAATGACCATAAATCCGCATTCACGTGAGGATGATGATATCTGTCTTCTTTTTAGAACAATTATTAGCAGGAAGCACAGATGAAAGATAAGTACACTCATTTTTGTAATATGTTTGTATGTTATCTTTTAAAAAGCTTGGACCCTGTGAGGGCAGTGCAGCAGCTTCGGGCATGTGGGGTCCTCGAGACAATCCGGATCTCAGCAGCAGGCTTCCCGTCTAGGTAGCAACAGCAACTGTTTCACAATGTCGTACAGTTGCACACACAATTAAATGTTATAAAAATGACCTATCCAACCTGTCTTATGTATATGAACATTGCAGATGGACCTATCAAGAATTCTTTAGTCGTTATCGGGTCCTCATGAAGCAAAGGGATATTCTTTCTGATAGAAAACAGACGTGCAAAAATCTCCTGGAAAAACTTATACAGGTGTGTCTGAATTGTATAAAACCGTTTCCATAGTGCTAATAACAAAATAAATGTAATTTTCACAGACCCACTAAAATATGACATGTTACATATGCCTCTGTGTTTTGTCTCTAGGACCAAGATAAGTATCAGTTTGGCAAAAACAAGATCTTCTTCAGGGCTGGTCAGGTGGCTTACCTGGAGAAGCTGCGCTCTGACAAGCTGCGTATGGCTTGTGTCCGCATCCAGAAGACAATCCGCTGCTGGTTGGCCCGCAAAAAGTACCTGCGGATGAAGGAATCTGCCATCACCATTCAGAGACATGTACGGGGCCACCAGGCACGCTGGTGAGTGGAGATGCAGCAGAATAAGAAGTTTAAAGGCACTAGGAATTTCTCTAGCATATTTCTTATATATATATATTTTCTTTTTTCTGTCAGTTATGTTCAGTTTCTGCGAAGAACCAGAGCAGCTGTTGTCATTCAGCGGAATGTGCGTATGTGGACGAATAGGAGATGCTACCAACAGCAGCGCTCTGCAGCTATCACCATCCAGTGCCTCTTGAGGGCCTACATGGCTAGAAAGCAGTATTATAAGGTAATGCCCTACTTGATAAAAATTTTGGAGACCTTTGATCTCCTTTACTGGAAGGTTTTGTAGTCCAAATTGAATTTCCAGAAGGAAATATCAACATCAGGCTTAATTCTAACTTGCCCGCTGTGCATTTCTGAGTTTGTTTCATGTAGTTTGAAAGGGCTTTTAAAAGCTTTTACTCAACCCACAGCGGAAGGGGATTGTTGATTATTGCAATAACACTGCTGGATTTAACAGGTGCCTCCAGGAAAAACAGGAATTGCCTCTGGAACATAATACTGAAGAGTTCCTTGCTCAAAGGAAGTCTGTACATGCCAGGTTCCGGTATTAACATTGTTGAGGTAGTAAAAGCTTCTAGCAGCAGTACACAGAGCACAGTAGATTGTTTTGGAGTTTTTAAACCTTGATTGTTGTGTAGGATTCTTAATCATTAAGTCATATAAATAGAGACTGACAATATTCATGCTGAATTTGTTGACCTCATTGACACGTCAGCACAACACAGCATTGTTAGGCAACAGCTTAGTTCTGTGTTTACTTGCTGTCAGCTGATGTCATTCACATACACTACAACAATAAATTAACCATGGCACATTTAGATATATAACACGGAGACACACTATAATTCTAATTCTTATGTAGAAATAATCCTACCGTCAAGTTTGTGAGAGAATCCATAATTTTGAACATAAAGCCCCTGGATGTTCAGCTCACTTCTTCTTAACACGCCCTGCAAGTCAGGACATTGCCATTTCACTTATAAACTTGACATTATATATTTTTCTTTTTTTCACAGTTGATGTTTGAGCAAAAGGCTGTGGTCATACAGAAGTGGGTGAGAGGCTGGCTGACCCGACAACATTACCGACGCACCATAGCAGCTATGGTCCTGCTGCAGAGCTGTGTACGTCGCATGAGGGCCAAGAAGGAATTAAAGAAGCTGAAAGTGGAGGCGCGCTCTGTGGATCACTTCAAGAAGCTCAACATTGGCATGGAGAACAAGATTGTGCAGTTGCAGCACAAGATAAATGAGCAGGTGATTATTGTGAGAGTATGGATGTCTAGTTTTGTCTGTTAGATAGTTGTTTACTCTGGAATCTAACATAAAAAATGTTGCTGGAGAAACATTGGGTCATTGGGAGTTGTATCACATGCACAGCATGTGTGTGTATCTCCCCCTGCAGCAAAAAGAAAACAGAGGGCTCAGTGAGAAGCTGAGTGCTGTGGAGAAGACCCAGACTATGGAAAGAGAGAGACAAAGTAGAGAGATTGAAAACCTACGTAGATCTGAGCAGGAGGCCAGAGCCAAGGCAGAGACACTTCCCTCCCTACTGGAGCAGCTCTCCTTCCTTCAGCACGAGTTGGAAAATACCCGCAGAGTGAAAGATGACCTGGAAGAGCAGACAAAGATCTACAAGGAGCAAACACAACAGGTAGGCCTACTACACAGTCATCTAAGTTATCCAATTTTACTGCCTGGCAGCTTCACTATACTTTGAACATTGCGTTTTGTCATTAATAGTCTGAAATTCATACTACACTCTGTTTCTGTTTTCTACAGTAGGCTGTACAGCAGTGCTTTGTTTCATCTCCCCCAGTCTATTCTGTTAATCTGTTAGTGCTTGATGTTGTGTTCATTCTTTTTTTATTTGTATGTATTATTATTTTTGATGGGAAAAAAAATAAGTTTGCTTGGAAAGAATGGAATAGTCCTACGGTTGGGTCTTAGGCTTCCACAAATCATCTATGGTGGCCTGTGGGGGACAATAGTAGGAATTACCAGGCTGCCCTTGAAAAAATCTTAATGGAATGTAAAACAGGAATTTGTAATCATTAGTCTTTGGGCCTTTTATGAACTTAGTAGGTTATTTTGCTTTATTTCGGTAAATACTGAAGAGTACTGTAATCATAATGAATGGGAATTAAGACTGAGAGCACATGATTTTTTTCTCTCTCACAATCAGGTGGTAGAAGAGCTTAATACGAAGAACAGCTTGTTGAACAGCGAGAAAGATGAACTGAACATACTAATCCTTGAACAAGCCAAACAGTTAACAGGTACTGTATACTTTTACAGATGACCAGTAACAGCTAAACTCAGAATAAATGAATAAATAAAATAGAACTATTTTGTTTCAGAGATCAAAACCAACAATGAGAATACAAAACAGCTGGAGAAGAATTTAGGTGAAGAACGCTCTCGCTACCAAAGTCTGCTGAGTGAACACCTGCATCTGGAGGAGCAGCATAGAGACTTGAAAGAACAGATGAATCTCAGCATTGTGAGGAACTTTACTTTGGCTTCATTTAGTTTTCAAAATGCAACATTAGTTGGCAACAAATGGCAACATTAGTTGTCATTTGATAGCTCTTTATTAATAGATTTAAATAATATGGTGATTTCAAGATGCTGTCACAAACCAGAATTGCCATTTGGTATTAGTAATATTGGTATTATATTGGTAAGGAAAAGATTCAAAGCATCTATTACATTAGAAAAGATTTAAGTTTAGGCCTTGATACTTATTCTGTCTGTCACATGTTTTGTTATGTCTTTTCCACACCTAACCAGAGTTCAAGCAAATCTGGTCACAAGAGGACAGATTCCAACTACAGCAGTAACTCGTCTGAGTTTAGTCAGAGCTTAGGCTCTACTGAGGGAGAAGACAGCTCTATACAAACAGAGGTAATGTGCTAAACCACACAGTATCATGGTGCAGAATTGTCAAAAAGATAAATTTTGGGAAGAGTATCACTTTGTGAGTATGAACTACTCACCCTCTGTAGTCTTAGAGGTGGATGAAACCCATTTGTATTTTCTATATTGACAAGTAATAGCAGCTGTGTGGTATGAACACAGTCATTTACAAGGAATTCTTAAATTTTCATAGTTAAAAATGTTTGGTATGGTGTAAAAATCGTTTTTGTAATGAGATGTCACAATTTATGGTGAGCATGTCAACATTGTGACATGCTCACCATAAAATGATCACTGTAAATAGTTACATTACACTGTAACCCTGTAATCATTACAGGGTTTGTGGTTGTTAGATTTTCCTAATAACTTGAATTCACCTGATTTCTTTAATCCCACAAATAAATGGATGGAAAATGGACCGAATTCTTGACGTGCGTATTTTATCTGTGTCGATGAATTCACAGTGCATCTACAGGGAACTGGACACTCATAATTTAGAACGGCTGTGGGAAGATTTCTCTGGCCTCGTCTGTGTTATAATCCTGTTAGTGCAGCATTCTAGTTAAGTTGTGGAGAGATTCATCAGTCAATGCTTGGTGTGTTATGTTAGGATGAGAGCCAGCCTGCGGTGGACCTGTCTGTCCTTCTGAAGCTCCAGAGAAGAGTAAAGGAACTGGAGCAGGACAAACAGTCACTTTGGCAGCAGCTGGATAAGAAAGAAGAAGCCCAACAGGAAAAGGCAAAGGTATGCACTGAAACACTAGTTGTGTTTCTTATTGGTAGCAGATAGAGTTTTGTATCAATTGGCTATTAGTTCTTTTTCACTAATATTTGTGGTTGAGTGGTTTATATTTATGTGTACATTTTTTTCTAAAAAAGGAGGTGGAGGAGCAGAGAACTGTTGGCAGAGCAGAACTAGATTTGGAAACATTAAAGGTATGATTTGGTCAGGTACATATATATGGATCCAAGCTAGATCTATTCCAACATCCCAAAAATGAGCTGTCACCCCATTACTATTCCTGAGAACAATTGTCTACAATAAATTATATTTTTATTGAAACTGAAAAGTGAATAGGGACAAAAATTCATTTGTAGATGTTTGATTTTTTTTTTTTTTTCTCTCTCTCTAAATGTCTTAATGCAGCGGCAAGAATTGGAGTCTGAGAACAAGAAGTTGAAGCAGGATCTAAATGAGCTGCGAAAGTCTCTGACCAATGAGAATACTGAATTGATGCCTCCCGCCCCTGGCTCTCTGCCCTACAACATACTACTAGAACAACTCAGCTCCTCCAATGAGGAGCTGGATATGCGAAAAGAGGAGGTGCTGCTCCTTCGATCGCATATGGTACGCCAAGAAGCTCTCAAACACAAGGTGAGAAAGTATATTACATTTGTTATTTCCTCATTTTATAGTAGGGATGCTTTTTTTTTTTTTTTTTTTTTTTTTTTTTTTTTTTTTTTTTTTTTTTTAAAAATTCAGTATTGTGATTTGACAAAATGTACATCTGACATGAATAATAAATAATTAATTCCATTTGCACTGACGTTTAGGACTCTGCCCTTGGAGGAAGTGTGAAATTAGATCTCAGTGAAATTCCTTCATTTCAAGATGTTGACAGGTAAGACCAGTTCCTCAGGGCTATTACAGGCTAGCATGATTTCATGTCATATACTGCTGGGAAATACTGAAAAAAAGTAATGCAATGATTGATAATTCTAGGGCATACCGTCCAGTGTTTTATCATCATACTTTCAGACTTGGACCAGTATGTTAATTGAACAATTGTAAATTGCATTCTATGTGGTATTAAGAAGTCTTAAATTTAACTTGGTGAACCAGGCACAAACTTGGTTCTAGTTTAAATCTATCAGGAGAAATGTGTCATCTTCATTTTCTGATGCTACTCTTCAGATCCCCTAATATCCATACTCTGAATGAAGATGGAGAGCTGTGGCTGGCTTATGAAGGCTTGAAAGAGACCAACAGGTAATGAAGTAATATTCTGTTGTTGGGTAGTGCGTTCAAGCTCATTCATGCCATATGGAATGGAGTGCGATCTCTCCTCTCTCCATCCTCCAGGCTCCTGGAGTTCCAGATGCAGGAGCAGGAACGTATCCACAATGAGAAGTGTAGGAAGCTGCTTGAGGAGGTGAACAAGTTGAAGGATGAAAAGGAGCAGCAGCAGAAGTTGTTGGCTCAGAGTCTCCATCTGCCTGAAGATGCCCGAATTGAGGCGAGCCTGAAGCATGAGATTGCACGGCTCACCAATGAGAACCTGGTGGGTGCACTCACTGGCTGTCCAGAAACTGAAAATCTAACTTTGCCTTTTAAAGCAGAGCTCCTTCAAAATAAACAGGCGACTCCGTCTAGTACAGGATGTGTACCTTTGAAAATTATAGCCTTATGGCTTTTTCCAATAAGATTATAGTTAATCATCCTTGAGAAAGATACTGTGTTATTTTATCAGCAAAGAATGTCAGATAAAAAAATTATAGTAATGTAGAAAATCCAAAGAGTTATGAAAGTGTTTTTAAGATGCTTTATTAAGTGCTTCTGCCGGCCAATAAGAATTTTCATCATGTTTCTATTTACTGATGCTTTAATTTCATAGTTTTAAACATTCAGACTTCTAGGCCATATGTAAAAGTGTTGTTTTCCTTCACTCTAATCTAATATGTTTCAATAATTTAAGGAACACATGGAGCAGCGAGAAAAACAAGACAAAACCATACGCAAGTTGAAAAAGCAACTGAAATTTTACATGAAAAAAGTTGATGATTTTGAAGGTAATCACATGGCGCTGATTGATCATACAATATATTTTCCAGATGATGTTAACACAGCATCAAATCTGTTATTGTTCATTTTGTGTCCTTGCTGTGTTTAGCGAGCACTCAACAAAAAAATTATGGCTCCACAATGAACGCACCTGCCAGAGCAGTTCAAATCACCCGCAAGGAGAAAGAGTATCAGGGCATTTTGGAATACAAGAAGGGTGACGAGAGCCGCTTGCTTAAGAATCTGGTCGTAGGTATGTTATACCTATTTTGCTCAATCAAGTCATTTACTAACTACATAAAAGAATTGCAGGCTAATGTTTTTTCCATAGATAGAGTACAACATTATTGGAGTATTGTCTTTGAAATGTTGTAATCTTCTCAGATCTGAAGCCTCGTGGTGTAGCAGTCAGCTTCATTCCTGGGCTTCCAGCCTACATCCTCTTCATGTGCTTACGCTATGCAGACAATGTGAATGATGATCAGAGAGCCAGCACTCTGCTCAATTCCACCATCAGCAGCATCAAAGGGGTCATTAAGGTGCAGTATATAACTATCAATAACTTAGATCCATGGAAATAATGTAACTCATCTTTATTTTGAATACATTTTTACATTTTTTTTTTTTTTTTTTTTCAGAAAAAAGGAAAGGATTTTGAAGTAGTGTCTTTCTGGTTGGCCAACACATGCCGGTTACGGCACTGTATGAACCAGTACAGTGGAGATGAGGTAAGCTTGAGAAGGTTTTGATGCCAGAGTTATGTTTACAGCTGGACATGTCCCTCAATTAACCCTGAATATCTGTACAACCCGTGTATACTGTAGGTGTTCACAAAGCACAACACTGCTAAGCAGAACGAGCACTGCTTGACCAACTTTGGACTGACAGAGTATGAGCAGGTTTTTGGTGACCTGGCCATCCAAATCTACCGTCAGCTCATCAAATGCATGGAGGACATTTTGCAGCCCCTTATAGGTGAGGAGACATTACCTTACTAGACATATCAATAAAGAACTGTAACTGTAACAGAACAATATGTAATGTGTTTTTTCCCTCAATTTATGTGTTCTATGTAGTGGCAAGCATGCTGGAGCATGAAACAATCCAGGGAGTTCTGGGGTCCAAACCGACAGGCCTGAGGAAGAGAAGCTCCAGTTTCCCAGAGGAGGGGGCTGTTACAGTGGAAGTCCTCCTGCAGCGTCTTGGGCTCTTCCACACCACCATGAGTCAGCATGGGATGGACTCAGACATCATTAAGCAAGTGGTAAAGCAGCAGTTTTACATTATCTGTGCGGTCACCCTCAACCACCTGCTGCTACGGAAGGACATGTGTTCCTGGAGTAAAGGCCTTCAGATCAGGTACGGCAAGGAACACACATTGACCTTGATATTGTATTTTGATTTGTAGAGCAACAAGAGAGCAACACCCACACACAATACCTCCAGTACACACGTTTTGAGGTAACTTTTTGATTTGAGTTGGGCCTTCGCTGACCTAAAACAAATGTGTTCTTGCACGAATACAGTGATAGAAGATACATTGAATTGTCTGACAGGCCATTAACCTGCTTCTGTGTGGTGATAATAAATACAGAAAGAAAATGTTTCATACTAAGTGAAACTATGAGAATATCATTTTTAGTTTCACTTTTATCACCAGGTTTGAAGTTTCTAGGAATTAGCAAAGATGGGAAAGTGGTCTCAGACCTTTGAACTCCACTGTGTGTGTGTGTGTGTGTTTGTTTGTGTGTATTTGTATGCCTCCGGCTTCAGGTACAATGTTTGGCAGTTGGAGGAGTGGCTGTCGGAGAGGGAGCTGGCAGACTGTGGTGCCAAGGAGATTCTGGAGCCGCTTGTACAGGCTGCACAGCTTCTACAGATCAAGAAGAAGACGGAGGCAGATGCCCAAGCTATCTGCAACATGTGCACTGCACTCAACACAGCACAGGTCCATTATCAGTAAAGGTTCAGTCTTCCAACTGTGTAGTCATAATATTTTGCTAGTATTTGATTATTGTTTGTGTTTTTTGGCAGATTATAAAAGTCTTGACCTTGTACACCCCAGTGATCGAATTTGAAGAGCGAGTGTCAACCAGTTTCATTGCAACCATTGAAGTGAGTAGCCAGAAAGTTTTGGCAAAAATGCCGTGCTCATTTTTCTGGTCATAAAAACTCTAGTAGCTAAGACCATACAACTTATTTAATCTATTTTTTTTTTATATTTTAGAACCTTTTGAAAGGAAGAGTTGAGTCATCCACTTTGATGATAGACACCAAGAAGATCTTCTCCGTCACCCTCCCCTTCACACCCTCCTCTGTGTCCCTGGAGACCATCCAGATCCCTGCTAGCCTTAATCTGAGCTTCCTCACCCGCACCTAGACCAGTGACCTCTGACATTTACCCTTGTTCCCTGAGTTCTGTTTACCAGAGTAAAAACAACTAAGATTGTTTTTCACCAAACTTTCTACCTTTTGTAATGTTTTCAGTGTCACTGATTATTGCAGTACTGCAGTAGAATAAGAATATATTGTTGACTTTTCAGCACTGTATAGCCAAAGAGCAATTACTGTATGAACAGTGAATATGCAAAAAGTGTCTTTTAAATGTCATCTATTGCCACACCGGATGTTTTGCTGATACCATGTTGTGGATTCATGGTTTCATTCACAGGTATGATTTTGTCTTCTGTTTTACCTAAAACCAAGTAAGGAAATATGACCACAAAATTTCACAACACAAAACTTTGAATTGTTGTGAAGTATGAACTTAAGCACTTCAGGGGACAAACCTTTAAAGAAATGGATCATGAGAAATTGTAAAACATAACTGTGCAACTAAACACAGATTTGAATGTTGAAAATGTCTTGAGATTAAATGCAGGAGAACTGTTTTATATTTGTGACTTATTTCTATAACTCCTAATATCAAATGATGGTATTTATGTAAGGACAAGGTGACAGAACTGAAAGTTATTCAAGTATGCATTTAACCAGTCTTAATGCCGCTGGTCACATTAAAGGCTGGCTTTTCAGTAAGATGGTTTGATGTGTTTCTTGTAGAACAGGATCAGTGTTTGTCTTCCAGAGGGTTTGCGAACCACCAGGGAGTCCCCAAGAAAGTGAAGAATTAATTATGTTTGCTATTTCTCTATCTTGACACCAGCTCTCACTGTTGTAAGTGCCTGATACATAGCGATGTATTAAGGTATTTTGGAACAAAGCTACAGACTTGAAACTTGACTTAGATTTGATCCAAAAGACTTAAAAACAACTTTGCCTGAGAGACATGGAAAAGTAAGTTGGTGATCTCTGACTCCATTGGGATTTAGAAATGTAGGCTACATGTATCAGACTGATGTAACTAACTCCTGTCTTTTCCAGTTTATGTAATATCTGCACTTTACACACTCACACTTTACAGCCTCGTGGCCTCACAGATGTGCACACCAGGAATGTGTAAATGTGTTTACTTGTATAAGTCCTTCTCCCAAACTTTTCAGTATGAAATCCACTGATTATGTGGGTCAAGTTGGTAAAAGGTGGTGAAATATTTACTTTTTATTTATTTTAATCATTTTTGTTTAACTACTGGTGGTAAGTCAGTCGCTGGAATGTGTTCACACATGGTGAGCTGGCTGAGATCTGAATCCGGTTTCTTTTGTTTTCTGAATCCTTGATCAAACGAACACACCCCATCTGTCGAGCCACTGTCACAAGACGGGAGGGTGGGGTTATTTAGTCAAAGTCGGTAACAGGTGAGCGACAAGCACAAGCCATACAGGAAAAGACGTGACAAACCTAGGATATGAGTGATGAGGCTTTCAGAGTAAAAGCTTCTGGTTTGGTTCTTTCAGATAAAACGATTCTCCACAGTTCAACCTTTCAGCTCATGAGCCCATAAAAAGAAGAAATGTCTTCTTGACCCTACATCACAGTTTATGGCCTTAGTGATTTTTCCCTCTGATTATATGTTTGTATTTGTCAAAAAGAAAAAAAAAAAGCAAAGAGTAGAGAAAATACATTTGTGAAAAATAATTTATTTGTTTAAGTATCATCCCCTTTTTTGACGTTTTATATATCTAAGCACCTCGTGCCCTACTGAACAGTTTTAATAATGGTACCAGCAAACAGCAATAAAGTAAATACATAAAAGCAATACACATTAATACATTTTGGGCACAAAATAAATGGAGAAATTGATAAAATTTGGGGCAGAGCATAAAATTGATAACATTTGAATAATATTGTATGTAGTGAAATATTAAATGAATAAATGTTTTTTTAAAGAAAGAATTTCAATGAAGTCACTGAGTATTATTTTGAAAATTACAACCGGAAAAGTGGTGTACTTTTGTGTAACTTGACTCTGGTGATTCTTGCATAGTTGTGAGGGAGAGGAGGAAATTCAATGGTAACCTGGTAGATACAGTGATAGAACAGTTGATAAACAAATACAAAGACGAGAGAGGTTACAAGAATAATGCATAAACATGGCTTTGTTGGAACTGTACACCGAGGTAGGAAAAGCTCCTGCTGTTATTACTATAGACCGAATATTTTCTTATTTACTTACTTACAGAGACATATGGAAACTTTGTCAGTTCGTTGGCAAGGTGCTGGGATGTAAAGGAACCTGTGTTCAAAGGAATTTAAAGTCTAAATGCTCAGCTGTTTGTTTTTATTTAACTTTTGTTATGTACGGCTTTATCATTTTATAACATAGATTAAGATACAAACCATTATAATTTAGAAAAGAAGGTCCTCATCATAGTTTACCTAGTTCATGTTTACATAACCAATTCCTTACATTTAGTGTTAAATGATGTTTTAATCATTTCTTTATTAAAGTATTGATTATTTGTTAACCTGTTACCCTTGAAATCTTCTGTATTAGTACAACAGGGTGTGGATTCCAGATCCAGAACATGTGTGGAAATCAGCAGAGATTATGAGAGATTTTCATTTTGGGGATAATGTTCTCGAATTGCTTCTTGAAGACGGCACAGTAAGTAAAATGTGACTAATCAAGCCATCACATGCACCTGCAGTGAGTTTATGATGGTGAGAAACAACAGCTGACTTGATTGTTTTACATAACCTGTCATTGTGAAAGGAGCACTACTACCCTGTTGACCCATCAAAACCACAACTCCCCCCTCTTCGCAACCCAGACATCTTGGTTGGGGAGAATGACCTCACTGCTCTCAGCTACCTCCATGAACCCGCTGTTCTGCACAATCTCAAAGTGAGATTTGTGGAGTCCAGAATCATCTATACCTACTGTGGTACAGTTTCACTGAACATAATCCAAGCACTGAGATGTAGGCTGTTGGCAGTTTGTGCTTTTGGCTCAACCTGTCTTGTTTACTCATTTTCAGGTATTATACTGGTGGCTGTAAATCCCTACAAACAGCTCCCGATCTATGGAGATGCAATCATTCATGCCTACTCAGGCCAGAACATGGGAGACATGGACCCTCATATATTTGCAGTGGCAGAGGAGGCTTACAAACAGATGGCCAGGTAAATAAAACCTCAGTCACATAAAGATAAAGATAAAGAATATACAGCGTGGTTATATCAGTGTATTACACATTTTTCTTTCTCAGAAACCACAAGAACCAGTCTATTATCGTCAGTGGTGAATCTGGAGCTGGTAAAACAGTGTCTGCTCGATATGCTATGAGGTACTTTGCTGTTGTAAGCAAATCTGGCAGCAAGACTCGAGTTGAAGACAAAGTCCTGGCATCCAATCCAATAACAGAGGTAGGATTTTACTGGAGCCTATTCACAAGGCCACACATAGCTGTTGTTTCCGTTAAACTGGCAATGTTTCAGCACTGTGACAGTGTTAAACTAATAAGCTTCCATTTTTAAGAGCCCATTGTTAAAATAAGATAGTTGATAATATGTTTCTGATAATTGGAGTAGAGATTTAAAGGGCTTGGTTTTGTCTCAGGCAATAGGAAATGCAAAGACCACCAGGAATGACAACAGCAGCCGATTTGGGAAATACACGGAAATCAGCTTTGACAGGAGGTACCGGATCATCGGAGCAAACATGAGGACCTACCTCTTAGAGAAATCCAGGGTAGTTTTTCAGGTAGGTGAGATGATGATGTTGCTGATTGTTACTTTTCTCATATCTGATCCAAAATAATGATTTTCTGTTTTATTCAGGCAGACAACGAGCGGAACTATCACATTTTCTACCAGCTGTGTTCCTGTGCTCACCTGCCAGAGTTCAAGAACCTAAGACTGTGTGAGTGTCAGGACTTTGGGTTTGTACTGCATGTTTGAGATGGAGCTTTTACTGTTTTATTGCTGTGATGATTAATCTGATTTACGGACGTCTAGGTCTTGTACATGTGGGATTAGTTTATTGTAAGTGTGCTTTACAATTTATTCCTTTTACCTGCAGTGAGTGCAGAAAACTTCCAGTATACCTGCATGGGTGGGGACATCACTATTGAAGGTGTAGATGACAAGAAAGACATGGAAGAGACTCGCCGGACCTTCTCGCTGCTGGGTAAGAAGTGCTTCAGATGTCAGGTGGGAACTTGCTTTTAATGTGACTTCTTATGTTATCTTTCTCTCCCTCCCTCTCTGCGCCTCCAGGGTTGAAGGAGGATTTTCAGGCGGATGTGTTCAGAGTTTTGGCAGCCATTCTGCATTTGGGGAACGTGGAGGTCAGAAACTCAGGAGAGGACAAATCATCAGTTAGTGTGAGTTATAACTCCCCAAGCGTTAAATAGCTTTTTTTGTGTGCAAGATTAGAACTTCAAACATTAACCAGGTTAAATACAAAACTACGTTTTTATGTCTTCCAGCCCAGTGATCCGCACCTGGCGATCATCTGTGAGCTGCTGGGTGTGAGCGCAGAGGGGTTGGTGCGTTGGCTGTGCCATCGGAGGATCGTTCTGGTGGCTGAGACGGTGATGAAGCCGATGCCCAAGGAGCGGGCAGTAAATGCCAGAGATGCCCTAGCCAAGCAGATCTATGCCCATCTCTTTGACTGTATCATTAACAGGATAAATACGGCACTAAAGGTCCCAGGAAAGCAACATGCTTTCATAGGTGTCCTGGACATTTATGGGTAATGCAGAAACAACACATATTTCTTCAGCTTTTTCATATATTCATGTCTCTTTTGCTGCCGTTTTTGACATGAATTTGATGTTCTGTGTCCTCAGCTTTGAAACATTTGACATCAACAGCTTTGAACAGTTTTGTATCAACTATGCAAATGAAAAGCTTCAGCAGCAGTTTAACTTGGTATGCAGCGTCATCAACCAAAATCAATGCAGAACCCCATGCACGCACCTCTTCATCAGCTCTGAGGATTATGCTGCTGTTTCTCTCATTTTCAGCATGTGTTCAAGCTGGAGCAAGAGGAGTACATGAAAGAGGACATCCCATGGACGCTCATAGATTTCTATGACAACCAGCCAGTTATTGACCTGATTGAAGCAAAGATGGGCATCCTTGACTTGCTGGATGAAGAATGCTTGGTAAGATTGAATGCAAAGGACTTTTTTCAGGTCTGTAAATTTATTTTTACTTGACCGTGTTTTCAACATCTCTGTCCCTCCTATACGTGTATCCCTCTACTTTACAGTTTCCTCAGGGCTCTGACAAAAGCTGGCTGCAAAAGCTGTACAACTACCTCGACTCCAGTCCTCTGTTTGAGAAGCCCAGGTTATCAAATGAGGCTTTTGTGATACAACACTTTGCAGACAAGGTGGAGTCTGATGAACCTTGAAAACCCATTACCTGCATAATGGAGCACAAAAATGACTCCTACCGTTATTAACAATTAATGCTTTTGGATCCCGAGCAGATGTCTTTTTTAAACTATGCCATCCTATTTCCCTTAACAGGTGGAGTATCAGTGCAGAGGTTTTCTTGAAAAGAACAGAGACACTCTCTATGAAGAACTAGTGGACATTATGAGAGTCAGTAAGGTAATTAAAGGCCTGATTTTATTTTGGCTTTTAATCTTTAAATACTACATTTTTGT